AAACGAGCTGCAAAGCACACTCCAGGCTGCCGCGTGGGAGAAGGAACGCTTGGGAGCGTCAACCCCCCGAGAGACTGGCTATTCAGGTCCCCTGGATCTCGCTCCGTTGTAGGGACCCTGTTTTGTAGGGCTCCGATCCGAAACGCCGGTTTATTTTGGCGTTTTTCTGCTCCACCGGACAGAGCAGAGGGAACCAGCGGCCATCCTGCCTCTCGCACATGCGCGGGTCCTCTCCATGCTTCTCTGTTCACCACCTCCACTCCCAGGTATGGGACTTGACACCGAATTGGACTAGGATAGTGTGTACGGCCGGGGGTGAGTGAGCGAGTGACAGGGCCGGGGCAGGCATTCCGGAAATTACTTCTGGGTCCACTTGTCGAACCTCCTCTCACCGGATCAGTAAATTTCACCATCCGGTTCTCCCAAGCCAGTGCGAACCGGCCTACCACTGGTGAAAACTTAGCTTAGCTTAGTTTATTCTATCCTATCCTAGTTTATCCTATCCTATTCTACTTTACCCTACTTTGTTAGCTGTGAAGTCATGCCCAACCCATCGCAATCCCCATGGACAACATTCCTCCAGGCCTTTCTGTCCTCTACCATCCTCTGGAGTCCATTTAAGCTCACACTTACTGCTTCGGTGACTCCATCCAGCCACCTGATTTTCTCTCCTTCTTCACCTGCATCAAGAGGCTCTTTAGTTCCTCTTCACTTTCTGCCATTAGAGTGGTATCATCTGCATATATGAGGTTGGTGATATTTCTCCCGACAATCTTAATTCCAACTTTTGATTCCCTACCCTATATCTAACTTTTGCACTTGTTATAGTATGCACATCAACACTCAGGAACTAAAGAAAGGGAAGAAAATAAGACACTATTGCTCAGGGGTGAAACAGTCTTTTCACACGATGGGATCAGTCTTTCCAAATCAAAGCCAACAAGCACATTTAAACAGTAGGTGAGATACAGCAGGAAGGTAAGGAAATTATTGGGTTGCATGTGGATTTACAGCAACAATCTCATCACTGGATATTAATATATTATCCAGCAGAATCACTGAATAAGTGGAAGTACCTGTAAGATTGCTTCAGGTATAACAATCTTTAACTGTATCACTTACCATTCATATGCACACCCATATATTTCAGGGTACATTGGAGAGGCACAAATCTCAGTAACCATGAATTCATTGACATGCACAGCGCTGTGCTGTTTCTGTTGCTGCTACATTATCCTGGGGGAATGAGGACAAAATTGGACCATATTTCCAGACTGTGTGGAAAGAGCCAGAAAACCATAATTTTCTTGGCTTTTTTTTAATACACACTCAAACTGTGACTGGTCCACCAAACCTGAGCAACTGGCAGCTAGGAAATCACACTCCTGCTTTGAAAACACAGATCCATTGTTTAGCTTGCATTATTTGCCAGATATTCTTCTCAGAGTGTTCTCTTACCTTACCTGAACTCAAGAATAACTAGATTTTTTTTCAGTCCCTGACTTCCATCCTAGAGTCCTATTAGGTAAAACAATAGCAATAAATTTCTGTGTTGCAAATCTTCCATAATGCTCCTGAAAAATGAGAGAATGAAGAAAAAGAAGAAAAAGCACCAGAAAAAAAGATTCTGGAATGGCAGAGCAGAGAACAGAACAGAACAGAATTCTTTATTGACTAAGTGCGATTGGACACTCAAGGAATTTGTCTCTGGGACATGAGCTCTCAATGCACATACAACAACAAAGGTTAGGTCCTAGATCATAGATGATAGCTACAACCATTAACCATAAGATACAATGTGATAAATCATAGGTACCAATAGGAAAAAGTAGTAGAAAAGATGAGAAGATGAGAAAGATGAGAAAAATGGAAGGAAGGATGGAAGGAAGGAAGGAAGGAAGGAAGGAAGGAAGGAAGGAAGGAAGGAAGGAAGGAAGGAGGCAGGCCTTATAAAACATATAGTTCACCATTTCTCACCAAAAAGATACTATTTACAATAAACCAATAATATAGTTACAGCTTTAAAAAAAATTAAAACATCTATTGGAAGAGCTGAAAGAGTTGCCTGGATTTGTTATCATCAGTGAGAGTAAGCAACTTTGTCCTGACTTCAACAGAACGTGACCTCATTCAATCTCTATTGGCTTCCCTTACACTGCACAGTACCTAAAAGCATTTTAGACCTCAGGTTCACTTAGCTTGTAAGTGAGGCAGAAAAACACAATAGTAGTCAAGTTTGTATTGCCTCAAAGAATAAAATGTTTTGATGCAATTTGTCAAAAGTCAGAATGATGCTTTAATGGTCAATTTACTTTAAATGGTTGCAGTTATTGCCACGCACAAAGTTTAGTATAGAAACCATTTTTTAGAAGAATGTACCCAGATGGATTTAATTTGCTAACATAAACAGTATCTATATTTTCTTTGCTTTCCTATTTTATCTAGATGTTATAAAGCAGTATTAACCTTTTCATATTATCTGGGCCTGTTTGCAGTTCAATGTGTCCAGTATTATCACATGCAGTGGTTAAAAAAAAAACTGAAAACCATATTTTAAAACTACAGAAAAACTTATTTCAAGCTGCCTCAATCTCTACAACATCAAAAAAATTGAAAGTAACTTCTTGATTAAGAGAATCCTGTAGGAATCATATTTTTTTGCCTCCTTTTGTCACTAAAATCTGGAATTGTTCTCCACTTCATGCAGTTGGAAATTTTATCCAAATCAGCAATCACATAACAAGCAGGAGAACACTAAATACTAGATAAACAATCCCTGTTATATTTAAAGTGGGGGCAAAATGAATGAACAAAGACAAGACTTTATGAACAATGATGCTGCAAACTTAAAAAATAAGCTAGTTTTGATACAGTTGGTTAATATTTGCCAAAACAGAAATAAAATCTGGCTCTAGATTTTAGGAAATCTAGAGCTAGTATGACTCAGCTCTATCAGAAATATTTTCCAGGAATGCTATATAAAAGATTTTAAAGGGATGAAAGAAGACTGGCGAATATGATACATAATTGCTTCAAAAACACTATGGTAAAAGTTACATGAACATAATAGCTATTTCCACTAACAGCTCAGCTCACCTAATTAAAATGTATATTGCATTTTGAACAACACAGCTACTCTAACAAAAACCTATCCCCCAAATAGATCCAAATTTTGTGATTTATATGGATGATCAGAATGTTAATGTTTCTAAAGTGGTATTTATTTAATTGACTCATTAAGGCCCTTTGTGGACATGAAGCATTAAAATAAGAATTTCCCAGAAAATAAAGCAAGTGCTGGAAAGGGTGAAGGGAGCTTGCAACAGAGTTTGAAAATAGCCAAATAGGTCTGATGGCCCAAGATAAAAGACCCTCACAGAAAAATTGGGGTCAAAGCCTTTTGTACGTAGCAGATAAATCCAGAAGCAATTTAAGACGTTCTGTAGGCTCAGGGTAAAAAATAATTGATATTTGATCAATGCTGGTGTTGGAAGCAGCCTGGTTTTGGGAGCACTTACTGTAGAAAATCAATAACCAGCAACGTTTTAAACATATCTAGCATAATAAGTGACAGCAAATGAAATCAATCCCATATAACAAAGGCTAAACAGTAAAGCACAATAAAAATTGTGTCCGAAAAGAACCATACACAGCAGTTAATGCAAGGGATGATTTTTTCTTTCCAGCAGATAATGAATATAAAAACTAGCCTAGTTGAGTGAAGATCTTTATTTAAGCTACCTCCTGAATGAGCTTGTATCTGGGAAAACATCCCCTTGCTCAGGAGAAGTGATCAAAATGAGGACACTAATAGATGGGATTTACTCAATCAGTGTGAGGATATTTAGTAAGTATCTGCGGCCCCATGTTAACTGAATGTAGAGGCAAACAGACTGTTGTCAATAGATTAATGTTTAATAAGTGGGAAACAGTCTTTATTCTGTATTTCAAAATTTTATTCTTCATAGATTTCTTAATGGTTGGAAGATAGATTTTTATTATTCTTATCTTGTTCTTATTTCTTAAATCAGTTATAAGCCACCCAGAGTTGCTAGGAGTCAGACAATGTATAATTTAATAAATAAATACATAATAAAACAAGAAATAACAACTGGGGGCAGCCCAGTTCCTATTAGCAACTTTTATTACTCCTCCAATTGCTGGAAACTTCCCTCCATGGTGATTCTGTTCAACTAGTGCAATTAGGCAAATGGCATCTGATATGATGACTACTAAGGCTTTACAAGTCCAGGAAGATCTCTAGACTGTGGACCTTCTTCCAGGGAAGTGAAGCCCACTAATGGTCAAAGATAGAACTACATTCCAAAGGTGGAACTACATTCACCCACGGGCAGGCAGGTCAAGTGTCATATGGGCGGGGCCAGCCAGAGGTGGTATTTGCCAGTTTGGCAAACCAGTCAAAATTTCCACTACTGGTTCACCCGAACCAGTCCAAACTGGCTGAATATCACCTCTGATCCTCCCTGTTTCTTGAATGTTTCTGCAGAATATTTATTTCTAGATATTTAAGAACATTCAAACATTAGATAAAACTGCAATTATATATAAATTTCCATAGATACATTGGAACCCATGGGAAATATGAAACTTTCTCTACTGAACAGACTAGCTTCAAAGGTGGCTTGCTCCCAGTTCGGCCCAGATTGGGCAAACCATTAGTGGCAGCAGGAGATTCTTCCCACCTAGATACTTCTGCGCATGCACAGAAGCGTTAAGCCAAGCATGAGCACAAGCAAACCGGTAGCCCCGGGATTTGCAACCCACCTCTGACTAGCTTGTTATTTTGCCATATATTGTACCATAATATTTAAATCTTGGTAGATGAAGGGTAAATGGAATGCCTTATTGTATGAAAGATTTAATGTATCATCAAGCATATAATACAAGTTGTTTACAACTCCAACAGATTTTATGCTTGAAATGTTCTTGAAGACAGTTCAGGGCTTCAAGTATCAAGCTAAATATTGTATTCAAAAGTGGTTAAACTTTATTTTCCATTTGTTTTATTTATATTTGTGATTCTTCATCCCTGAAGCATATGCAATTATAAGAACATAAATATGCTTTAAGTGCATCTGAAATCATTGTCATATTCACAGATTGTCAATTTGAGACTTTAAAAATGCCCCCAAACATTATTTCTTCGGTTTTCTAGAAACAAAATGATGCATTTAATTGCTGTTGTAGAAAAAAATAGAACAACATTATTGAAACATATTGCAACTGGACCAGCATTACATTTTGTTCAACTGAAGATTGAAATACTAAAATACTACCATATCAACCTGGGAAGAAATCTGAAGTAAAACTGGAGAAAAAATAATTGCCATATAGCTGCTACATTAATTCCAACATATATGCTTTCTGCAAACAGGAATTAAAATTAACTCAGTATTATATAATGAAACTAGAATCTCCACCCATCATTAACTGACTCACAGCATTTTTTTTTTAAAAAAATCACTCCATAAACGTTCATAGCAAATTGTTATCTTCAGTAGGAACATAATGATTAATAAATGCAATACAAAGACTAATCTTGAAAACATCCTTCTAGATCATTAATTCCTTTTTCTGCTATAAATTTTGAGGGTCTATTAATTAAACTTATTGGACTTTCAGCAGATTTTGTATTTTTTATTAATGAAATACTGTAGGTGCATGGGTACATGGAATCTGCAAGTTCTCTTTATTACAAACAGAGATTTTATTATTGTGGTTTTTACATTGTATTTAAAAATTTCATTAATTACTTTCCTTGTTTTGCCACTTTATCTATCAGTTCCAAATCTCATACTATATTGCCATGCTAACTGTTTAATTAATTCAATTTTGGGATGGGTCATACTTCCTTATGGTTTCATCACGTTGATGGAAGATATAGACCAGGGGTGTCAA